GCTTTTGGAACTTTGTACCACCAAAGATGTCTCTTTCCTGGTCCTTTCTTGTCCCCAGTCTCACAAGCTCCAAATGGAGTTTGGGGGAAAGACCCATTAAGTAGACTAAGGTGACCAATTCATCCCAATTTTCTTGGGACTTTCCAAGTTTGAGAAGAAATCCCTTAGTCCAGAGCCTATAGGAAGTGGGTCTACCAAGTATCGGATGCTCCCAGGGTTTTTAAATTCTCACACTAGGCCCCACCCAGCTATGGATAAGTCTTTAAAATTTCTGTCGTTTTCTTCTTTCCTGTTCTTATGGTTGTCATCTCTTCCACCCATACCAAAAGGGAAACAGAGAAACAGCTTGTGTGTTCCAGCCCACCCTTTGGAATTCAGTTCTTCTGGTTGCTTTCTAGCTCAGCTTATTTAAAAAACTCAGAAATATTTATAATACTATAGACTATCTGTTTTTTTCTCATTTTCAGGGTGATAATCTCTTGTAGGGGTGGGGAATCTATGGCCTTAAGGAAACTTGTGGTCTTTCTGGTCCTTAAGCATGTCCTTTTGACTGAATCTAAATTTTATGTCACAAATCCTTTTATTAAATGGGGTGCAGCAAAGAAAAATTAAGCTTTCTTTCCTACTTTGGTACTTAAAAAAGAACAATCTTGAAATCAGAAGGCCACAGGTTCCCAGCCGTGCTTGGGTCTTTCTATCTCCTAAGTAGAAACAAAACTCCTGGGCCCCTTTGCTTTTGAAGAATTGAGCTGTGGTGTTAGATTATGGCCCTTGCAAAATGACATTACAAGAAGCTGCACAAAAGTGACCACTGCATTTATTATAAAGATGTTCTTGTGAATTTATCTCCCCACATCATGTAGTGAAGAAATTTATCATGAATCTCAATACCAGTACCGGTCATGTCCCCCTAGTTCACTAGTAGCTTTTTGGGGTTTTTTTAGGTCTCACGGATGCTGCGAATTTAGCAACTGATCACATCTTTCTTTACTTTGGAGATTTGACACCAATTTGGGTCTAGGTGTAGACATAACCACTGTATGTGACCATCTGGCATGAGTCTTTGTGTTTTATCTGTGGCTTTATTTCATTTTTTACACCTATTTTTACTTACCTCCACTTATTTGTTGATAGTTTTTATCCTATTATAAACTACCATGAAGAACTATTTTAACAAAGTATTACCTTAAAGGTAACTTTGAAAAAATGAAAACATTAATGAATTGACACCATTTAATTGATTTTATGGTATTTCTTTCCAGTCAAAACTGAAAAATGCATTCCTATAAGGAAGGATCCTTTGTGGGTGGCTCTGGAGTGAAGGAAAACAAAGGCCATGAAAAAGGAAAACACAGGTGATTGCTTGTTCCTCCAGGGGCTCCCATGTCCCCACTGGCCACCCCAAACTTGGATGCTGCCACACACTTCTCAGAACAATTACTTCACCTCTGTCTCACAAGTGTCACTGCTATGCAGAACTAAAATCATCTTTACGAGGTGAGCTGACAGAAATACAGTTAAATCATTTATCGTGAAGTACAACCATATGGTGTATGTTTAAGGAAACTCAGCTTCTCTTACGAAATGGAGTTCTCTCCCTGGGAGGATAGAGAAGGGGGTAGGTTTGTGCATGCTGGATGCAGGAAAGAGAAGAAGTTGGGGGAGGCCCCCCTCTTTCAAGGCCCTTTGCTTCATTTCACTGCCAACCCTTCCCTGAGCCCTCTGCACCTTCCTTCACTCTCTCTTTCTGTTCTCTTCCTCCTCCTAGCCAGCCTACCATGTGGGATGGGATACTGGAAAGAAATGGGGCACAATAAAATAACATAAGACCCTTTTAGGATCACAACTCAGTGGACTTACAGAGAGAATGAACAAATCCCTTATGTGGAAATTCAATCCCCTCAATGGGCTATTAAACCACCCCAGAACCTACAGTGCCAGCTGGCTCCATGCCTCTTTCTTTCTCATGCAAGATAATATAGAAGCCATAAAACAGTCAGCAGCCTTTTCTAAAAGGAGTCAATTTACATTCACTGTTGCCTGCTCCTTTGCCCTGCCTTTTAGAGAACCAAAAGGCCAGACAGGATAGGAAATAACTCTGAACGAGTCCGTTCCCAGGTCAAGAGCTTGCTATCCTGCTTCTTTGTGACACCTCATGAGGTAGACATAAAACATCAAGATGGCAATTGGAAACCTAAAATGCTGTAAAACTGTAGATTCATTTATTTGTTCCCAAATGGGCATAAGCCACCTAAATTGCTGTTTAATTACATATTTCTCATGAAAGCTCATTCTATCTTTTAGAACATACAACGAAGCCAATGGCACTTCTTACAAAGGTTAAGTGTGGGGATGTTCCATCCTGATGTGTGGAAAAGTTCTCAGCTCACTCAGTAACCCTGGTCCAAAACCTAACTGTGTCTCTATCCTGCCAAAGTGGGAAAAAACCCCTCTATCAAGTAGGTTTATAGAAAAAGCATCAGCCTGATGGTCCCATAGAGTGAGGGAAACATTACACATCAGCATGTCCAGGACAGCAGGCATATGTCTGAATCGTGGAGCAGTACTTAAGCTCCAGCTATTTTTCTCTTGCATGAGTTCTTTAGAAATCCAAATGCAACCCTGCAGGCTGTACCGTAAGTAGAAAAATAGACTTCTGGCCCTCAGTGGGACAAGACAAGATGGCTGCTCTGACTGACCACCTGTGTACCATGGGGAGGCATTTCAACTACGTGGGTCCAGTGTTCTCCACCTATGATATGAACGGGTGGGACTTGCTGAGGTCTTAAGTCTGCTTCAGCTCTATGAATCTAAATTCTGAAAAACAAACAAAACTCAGGGTCTTCTACAAGATCATCAGGAAAACACTCTTTTCATGAAAGCTTCAGCAAAAACAGAACAGAGTATAGTGTTACCTAAGACGCTACTATTTTAACCAAAAACTAATCCATGTAAACCTCAATCACAGACTTCGTTACAGTTTATTTTTAGGAGAAATGAAAAAATACGTGTCTGGGGATGAGCACACATTCACATCTTGTTTTCATCCACTTACATATCCAAGCTCTAAACAAAGAAAACAGGAGTTGAGCAGTTGCCCAAGAACACTGATAATACCTCTGCTATCAAGGGACAATGTAAGATTTCATGGTGTTCACTTAATCCTATATTTAAATTAAGATTGTCTGCAATCATACAAACTTGAAAGGGCAATAGGGTTGGAAGTTCCACCACCCCCACCTCCCCCCCACCACGCCCCACACACAATTACGGATTAAATCAGGGTTGGGCTAAATAATAATTTTAGGAAGCGCCCTCTTGTGGCAAACGCTTGCAATTGCCAAATAGTAGTTTTGTCCCCAGATTTTGAGAACTGACCAAACGCATGTACTAATTGTCATTTATGGAGCAGGTTTTAGATTTCAAGGACTGGCTTGGATGTTTGCCATGTAAATTAGATATAAGACTTTTTAAAGGCAGTTTACATTTTCATGGAGAGAATTGGAAGTCTTTTATTTCTCAGAGCTCGAACTACACCTGAAGATTTACTTCACTGAGTATGTTCATTCCTTGGTGTATTCCTGAGCATGGAGGGATGGGGGGCATCCAACATTAGCACATTTTCCTCCACCTTCACACATTTCCTTGGAGTTCTGAGCTGTGAGAAAGAAGCTCTATTAGTCATACTATTTCATTTCCAGTTCACAGCCCCTAATTTCACATTGGCAAAATGAAGAGAGAGAAGAAAGAAACAACACTAAAAAAACAGGAAATACGTGAGGTGGGCGTAGAGAAGGGGGGCATGGGTGGGGAGACACAGCTGCTCAATGCCTTGTAAAAATCTCCAGAAATCCCAAGATCTTTTAATTCAAACAAAATTATTAAACATCCATAATTTGAGAGACATTTATTGAATAGCAAAAACGTTTATTTATGTGGTTGCAATTTGTGTTTGTGTTTTTCACACCGTCCTCAGACCTTTCAAGTTCCCTACGTGTCTTACACAGTGGTTTTCTGTACTTAGCACCACATCTGATGGGTTCACTAAATGTTGCCAACGCTTTCCACAAACGTAGGCCCAAGGAGACATACATTTTTACATATGCCAGTTATGAGTGTTTGGCCCCTTCCTTAAAGAGTCCAATATTTTAGCACCCACACAAGGGTGACCCCTTCACAAAAGGTTACAAACTCAAATGCGTACTGGTTCCTGAAGTTCCAGTCTTTATGTGGGAATGCGGACTCTGTGCAGATCCTCCAACTGTTTAAATGAAACTAGAATTCCAGATTTTAAGTAAGCAACCTTCTAATTTTTAAATTTTTGAAAGTTTGAGGGTAAAAAAAAAAATTAAACGGTGTGTTTGAGCCAAACAAAACAAGTTTTCTGCCCAGATGTGTCCTTTGATCTACAATTTTCAGCCTCTGCCTTCAAGACTGTTGAGGGCTGATCTTTAGACTGCCCCTAGGAGACACCTTCTTAAACAGGTCCTGAGGACTGTGATGAAGAAATCCCAGGAGAGGAAAGCTGTTCTGTCTTCTGATGTCCTTTACACCATTGTGGACATCTTATCAAGGCAAGCAGTATGTGATCTTAATCATTACTTGTCCTTACTTCACATTTCTCATTATTTGGATACTTCCACCACTTTCCAAGAACATAAGAGTTTGCAACATCTACTGTAAGCTACTTCAGCAGCCGTCCAGGGTCATGTCTTTTTCTTTGTGGTTACTAAAACCTGGCCCACAAGAAAACCCATACCAGTTTTCTGGGTTAGGCTATAATATCTCCAAGGGGATTGTGAATCTTCTGGAAGACAGAGATACTCACCAAGACACACCACAGATTTGAAATGGGGTCAGTGCATTGTCAGTACATTTTAGCAATATGGAAAGGGGTCAGGTCTTCTTAATAATTTCAGATCTTTCCTAATTAATTAAGAAAAAGGAGGATGTTAATGGATTTTCCTTTAAAAGTAGGTTTTCTCTGGGTCTGTGTGGCTTCAAAGTTTAAATTTCTGCTTCTCTGTATAGGTAAAAAATGTGTACCTTTAATAAGTGCTAGAAGCACTGCCTTTATTTCAAAACAGTCTTGATTACAGAGCTGTCCCACATTGATAGAGAGTAGATACAAAGTCATCTTTACTTGGATTAACCAAGGAGAAGTCTTGTACCTTCTAAGAGGAATAGCTAAGAAGCAAATGTCTCCATTTGGAAAAGCTCAATAGGATCAGGATAGGGATCTCTGGAAAGGTGGGAGTAAACTCTACACAGGCACTACTCAGAATTCCCAGGCCAGCTGGCAGAACACAAGGACACCTAATATATTCACATATGGGATATTTCATGGACTATTATGCCATGGAAGTTACAATTTCAGCAGCTTGACAGTTTGTGTCAGTATTATGGGAACTTTGCTCCATTTCCATTTGGTTTCTTCAAAAGATGAATGGAATAAGTGCTTTCCGAGATTTGGGGTAGTCCTCAAACATCTTGAGGTAGTACCTTAAAAAGATGAGAAGGGAATAATTGTAAATGTCATGGAGCAGAGATAACAGTTGAGGTTTGCTATGCCCAAAATTCTTGCTACAAGTCAGCCTATAGTTATTCAAGTCCGGACTATTCCAGATGGTCATTTGGCCATCCCCTTTCTCCTTCCTGCAGCCCACCTCTTATAAATGTCGAAGCCTCTTATTTGGGGAAATAAAAAGTCATAGGCAGAGGGTAATGGTGGTGATTAAGTACAACATTATGCATGTGTCTAATGCCACTGAATTTTATACTAAAAAACAGTTAAAGTGGTCAATTATATGTTATATATATTTAGTCAAAATAAAAAGAAAATGAAAGATCCAGAATGAAGTACCCATCTGGATTCAGCTGGGAAACATAGAAACCAAAGACCCCAAAGGGGGTCATGAGCAAAGTTAACTCCAGAGAACTAGCAGTGGTCCCAGGAAAATATCTCTTCATAAGGCCTGAGAATGCCAACAAAACATGATTTTGTATTATGGGTTGAATTTTGTCCCCCTAAAAGATGAGTTAAAGTCCTAATCCCCAGTCCCTGAGAATGTAACCTTTTTGGAACTAGGATCATTTCAGATACACTTATTGAGCCTTGGTTATACTGGAGTGGGATGGGTCCTTAATCCACAATGAGCATGTCTTACAAGAAAGGGAAAAGAGACAAAGAGAGACACACAGGAGAAAAGGTTGTGTGAAAACAGAGGCAGAGATTTGAGCAATGCAGCCATGAATACCAAGGATTGCTGGCCACCACCAGAAGCTAGAAGAGGCAAGGGAAAATTCTTTCCTGGAGCCATCACAGAGAGCACGGGCCTGCCTGCACCTTGATTTCCAACTTCTAGCCTCCAGAACTATGATGGACTAAATTTATGTTGTTCTAAGCCTCCCAGGTTTGGGTAATTAGTTACAGCAGGCCGAGGAGACTAATGCCTCTTGTAAGAAGCCGTTCCCCTTAAGTTACCAGGTTGTCCTCTTAACTAATTGAAGCTGGCAGCCCTCAAGGCGTCATCGAGATGATACACCTGCTAAAGTTTCTTAGTTTGAACTGGGGACAAATATGTTACAAGTGGCTGATTGTCAGTGCTGTGACTTGGGAAGCCTGGTGATCTGCCTCTGCCTGTGTTGCCTATCCTTGAATACCTGGTTTTGCCTTACAAGCACCTGTACAAAGCCCATAGCCCCATAGAAAAAGTGCCCTTAGCCCCTCCTCTGGGCAGTCTGATGTGACAGGGTGAGGTTTCAAGTTGAATTTTGTTGTTGCACCAGCTGGAGATCTTTGGCAGAATTGCCCTCCCTCCCCTGTGGGTGGAGGTGTATAGTTCATGCTTCCCAAGGACCTTCCCAGTGCTGGGTGATGCGCCCTCCTCTCCCATTCCCTCTCTGCCTCTGGTGGGCAAGAGACCCAGCCTGAAGTGGTGAAACTGTGCTAACTGTCTTCCGAGCTAGGAACCCTCAGCTGCCCTCCCCTGGCCAGGGAAGAAGGTTGAGCAGCTGTTTCATTTATTTTCTGAATTCTGCTTAGAAAAAAAGAACCCATTCTTAGTCTAACCTTTAGAACTATGCAGTGAGTCACTAGCTAGATAAAACACAAAACACAAACAAAAGCTCCAGGGGTTCCCCGACCAAGACCATGCCTCCTTTGAATATCCTACTCTCCTTCTCTCTCTGTCTCCAGGGATCACAGGCTGTCTCTTTCCACAAAAGCCCTTTTAGGGAAAGGATCTGAAATTCACACTCAGGTTTAAAGCCTGACAACAATGAGAATGTTACCCTTTCTCTTCCAGCAATACTTTTAGTTAATTCTTACTAGACCTTCAGAGGGAAGATCTCTAAATGCCTGCGTTTCTGGGCATTTCCCAGCAGATGGGGCAGTCCTAAAATTCCACTAGGGGCAAATATTTCCCCCACCTTCCCAGGAGCCCAGAGGTTGCTTTAACCGTGGTTTGCAGTGTGTGAGAGTACAGGAGGGAGGGGAGTACCCAAATAAGCCCTGGCATTACCCAGATTCCAGGGAAAAGTATCATTCTGGAATTTCCAGGAATCTGTGATTACCTGAACCACTAAGCACCAAAAATAGCAGCCACACAGGCCCAAAGCTAGGGTTTTTCCCCAGTGGCTCTCTTTCCTGCTGTACCTCAGAAATATCTGTGACATTCTGGCCCTGGTCCCACCCATAGAACACACTTTGAGAAATGTGGCGGAAGTGAATGGAATTGAAGCATGGAATGAATTGAAGCATGACCTTCAAAATAAGTTACTTATTTTGCCTCTTGACTCTTTACCTGGAACTTACTGCCAAACACTACCCCTCACCAGGTTCACCTGCTAGGAGAGCACCAGGCCCAGTCAACTAGGTCTTGAGGGTCAAGGCACTTCTCTATGGACACTCTGGCTTCCTAGCTGTCGCCCTGGGTCCCTCTGACTATGTGGGCTTATTTCTGGTCTTAGAACAAAATTTGCTATTGCTAATTTCATCCAGCTAAGTTCTAACTTCAGTAAAGGCCCACAAAGTCAGGATATACCAATCCAAGGATTATATCAACCTTCCCTTTTAAAAATATCTTAGATTTCTAAATCTGACTCCATGTGCTAAAAACCTGTTTAGAGAGAAAAAGCTATAAGAATGCTGCTACCTTTATTGAAAAGTTTACCTGTGGTGGTGAAAAGCCCGCAGCCCAAGGAAACAAAATGTGAAAAATGCAAATGCAAGCGCTGGGAGGGACCATGTGGCCAGGGCATAGCCGATCCATTCAATGATCTCACCAAGGAAATTGGCTCCAGAAACATATGTAAACAAGCCACCTGCATGCAGAAGGATCAAAAATCAAGAATCAGAATGGAGAGTCATTGTGATATTAAACCCCTCTGTTTTGTTCCGAACACATAAAGGCAACCAGAACAAATGTGCGATCTTCTTGGGAGAAAAGGGAAAACAAAGTAACAGCATCCTGTTGTCCACAGTACATTCTGGAATTGCACTTTTATCTTCAGAAAGGCACTTATCCTTGTGAGGCCTCCCCTCCTAATTTTGGGTTAAGTGAATATGGTTCTTGACACACTTAGGAGTGTACACAAGTGGCAGGAAATACACAAGTACTACCCTTAGCTACTCGTTGGCTAAGCCTCGAATTGAAGGGGACAGCATTTGATGGTTATGCATGATTCAGCTTCATTTGCTAACCTAGAAAGGACTGACACCCTGTCCATAATGACCTTACCTGCTGCAACTAGGGTGTGGCCTATTCCCACCCTACTCAAACCTCCCACTGTCTCCCACCTTCATGATATTGTGATCTCACCCCTTTTTGAGGGCTCTTGTAGCTCTCCCAAGCTACTAGGTTTATATCAGAAGAGCTGCAGGTGGGACAGGGTGTGGATAGAAAGTCAACAGTAAGCCAGAAGCTAGTGTAGCATGTGGGGCCCTGCTGCCCCCACCCTCCTGCAGTTACTCCCAGCATGGCCCCTGGCATGAGCTCCAGGAAGAGTGGGAATCTGGGTGGCGAAGGATGCCTTACCTTGTGGAATCCTATAGGTGACTTCTCCAGGCTTCCTGAGCTGGCGCAATATATAGTCACTATGAATGTTGATTCCCATTCCCAAAATAAATAAGAAAACACCTTGGCAAAGAAGAGAGAGGGGAGAAGTCAAAAACAAAAGCTTTCAGATTTTGGTGTTTTTCTCACAAGCTGTTTTTTCCCTAAAAATGAAGGGAAGGAATTTGATTTCTAAATCTAAGAATAGTACTGAGATATGGCCAAAGAAAAATAGTGAGGAGAGCTGGTCCTGCATGGAGGAGCAGTTGTGCTTTTTCCTAGACCAAAAGGCTACAAGTCAACAGTGACAATGACGGGGACAGGTGAGAGGAGAGAGGAGCCAGTGCCACCATCATCCAACATTTAGGCAAATAAATGAATAAATGAATGAATGACAGCAAGCTCTGGGCTCATTCACAATCTATCTGTGGTTGGCCAACTCTACTACCAACTTCCACCCCTTCTCCTTTGTCATCCCCTCACTGTAGAAGCTGGAAAGTTGGAAGGTATCACATCACCTAATTCTACCAATAAAATGGAAAAGATAGTCTCTGAGGGCTTCCTTGGAAATCTTGCTTTTCTGATAAAGGAAGCAGATGAGATAGGCGCCTCTGCTTCCTCCTTCTTCCAGCCATGCTTGCCAGATGTAATGTCTTGAGCTTCCACCATCTTGAAACCAAGATGTGAGTAATGAGGGGACCACAGGTAAACATGCTGAGCATAACAGAGACAGAACAAAGCCTGAGTTCTCACTGGTGCTGGTAAGCAACCGCAGGCATGCAGAAGCCTCCTACCTTGTTATAGAAGAAATATTAATTCTGAATTGTTTCAGTCGCTGTTGGCTGGTTTTTTGTGACTCCTCACTGAGAGCGTTCCTGACTGATAACCCTGCTCCCAGGAAAGTAATGTGAGCCAGCCTGGAGGTGTTGTCAACTAATAAATTAACTTCTAACACCCCCCCCCATACACATACACATTCTGACATCAAAAGTGACGTACCACATACACCACTCACACCTTTATTTATTTCACTACATATCCCATGAGGACCTCCATGTGCACTATCCATCAGTACAGAAAGGGCCCTGGGCTGAGTATGGAGAGACAGGACCAGGAATGTGAGGTCCTACATCGTGGTGGGCATTATTATTACAGCCCAGAAACAATCCCACATAAAGACCCAATCCCACTTCTCAAGAAAGTACCTCTGTGCTGATCAAAATACATCAGGCAAAAAAGCAAAAACAGTTTAAAATAATCAGATCTACTCTCATACCTTCTTCGACAGGATATAAAACAATGATTTTCCACCTTGTCTCATCAAAACATCATTGGCCAGGGAAAAGGGGCATCTTGGGAAGGATGGAGGGAGGGGCTGGTGGAAGTGGGAACATACACAGCAGTGGAGAAAAGCAGGGATGTTGGACTCGCTGATGTGTGACCCCAAGCGAGTCACTTCACCTCTCTCAGCCTCAGTTTCCTCATCTATAAAATGTAGATCCTTACAATAAATATCTCATAAGGATGGTACAAAGATCATTCACGTATTCATTCATTCATTCATTCAGCTAATGTTCATGGAAGGCTTACTGCGGGCCAAGTGCTGTACTAAATACCGGAGACACGGTAGGGAGAGAAACAGCAAAGGTGTTGGTAGTCACGGAGCTTGCATTTTAGTGGAGGAACAGAGAAACAAATTGAAAAGAATTAAAAATTCAAACAAAAATCACATAATGATGAATGTAATACAGAAAATCAAAGTAGGGAAATTAAATAGAGAATAAAGTGAGGTGTAGGTGAGATCTCTCTACTTTAGATGAGGTGGCAAGGGGAAGTTTGTCTGAAGATTTGGCATTTTTTCCTGGGATTTGAATAACGAGAATGCAAAAATCTGAGAGAGTACAATCTGGTAGAGGGATGAGCTGCTATTACAAAGGCCCTGTGCACCTGAAGCTTGAGGATGGAAAAGGGTCGGGACGATGAGTAAAAAGTCACATCAAGCATTCTAGGCCTTGGAAGTCAGTGGTAGGTTTTAATCAGGGGAGAAATAGGATTTGATTTCTGTGTATTACTGCAAAAGGAATACATATGTTACACAGAATGGTAAATGCTAACTAGAAGAAATTAAAAAACCAAAGTGCCTATTTCTACCACCCAGTGATTATCATGAAATACATTAGCTCATATCCTTCCAGATTTTTATCTTATCTAATATCCAGGCCATATTATAATTTCCTCAGATGGCCCCCAAATGACTCTTACAAGGGGTTTGTGCAAACCAAGATCTGATACAGGGTCACAGCTGACATCTGGTCTTTATGTCTTTATGTTACCTTTGTGTGATTTTTTTTCAATTTTAGGGAACATTTCTTCAATTTAGGGTTTTTAAATTAAGTAAGGAAATTTCATTATTCAACGGACAAAACTATCTTAAAAGAAATGCTCTGCCTACCCACTGAACTCTCTTTACCCTGAGAAGGGAAACTTTTTGATTTCTTTTTTATAACACAAATATTGCCTTTCCCTGTTGCACACACACCATTTTCCTTCTATCCTATTTCTACATAGAAAATACTCATACTATATATGTTAGTAATACAAGCAGAGCACGCAGCCTACTTCATTTTTATTTAACCATATATGCTAGAGGCATCGCCATAGAAGCACACAGAGATCCTGCTTTTATTGTTGTTGTTACTTTCTTTCTTTGTTTTTGTGGTCACAGACTACTCTATTGTGTGCATGTACAGTATACATACAGCTGATCCTCCGATCGTGTGCGTTTTCAGATGTTCTCTATGACTGCTGTGTGAAGAACGGAAAAACAGAAAAAGAGATACAAAGTTCAGGTCAGAGCTTATTGCAGGACTGCTGGCAAGAGGTGATTGGACTAGGAAGTTAATGAAGTCAGGGAAAAGCGAGCCCAGTTGGCCACATGTTTTGGAGCTCGAGCCAGAAGTACTAAGCTAATGGATAGGGATGTGATGTGTGATTCTAAGAGGAAATCAGAGTAATCCCTACCATCCTATTTTTTTTTATTTGAGCCAAAATAGAGGACAAAAAATTGAGCCTTCCTGGACTTTAGCTCCTCTTACAAAAAAAAAAA